TTTAAACACAAACATAACCTCAATACTGAACAAATGTATTTATTTTTTTTATATTGAAAATGTATTAGGTAAAAGTGCATTGTGTCAAGTTGCAGAAGAAAAAGGGTTGTGTGTTTTAATTTTTAATGCAGGTAAAACTGGAGTGATGGATAAGCAGCACCAGCTGGGCAACTCCACCTTTGTCCGCCACTACATTTCAATGAGACTGAGGAGCCAGCGCCTTTTTATTCCTGATGTAATAGGGGCTGTATGGGAAGCTAATAATAGGAGGAAACCAGAAGACAGATCAATAGTAGAGAAACATTAGCTGCCCCAGAGGGAAGAGAGAAGAGGGTTATAAAAGTAAGAGGGGAAAAAAGAGGGATGAAGATTGCATTGAGTGCTGCTATGGAAGACTAAAAGAGAGACATTTGAATGTTGACATTTTTTAAAAAGTTGACAAAGATGGAAAGAATAAGGACGAGCTGGGAGCAGCCAGCGCCTTCAGAGCAACAGAGAGAGTACTTCAAGTCCACCTGTGTTCTATATCAGCAGATGCTCATCAATAGAAACATTATCCATGGGACAACAAGGAGCGAGTAGGGGAACAGGGTAGACTCTGCTGGAGGAAGAGATTAACTCTGGCAACCTGCATAAACATCAAACAATGCTGGCTAAAGAATCATTCAACCTGACAACTCCATTAATAACCACATTTCTTACACAGGGAGGAGATAGGAAATCTCCAAGCATGGATTGGATTGCATGCAAACATGTTGCACAGGGTCTGCTGGCTGTGTGTGGTAGATAAGTCTGGTGGCCAAGTCTGGTATGTAAACATGAGTGCAAGCTTGGCGAGGTACTCACAGCTGCTACTCCACGACTTGAGCAGAGATTTGATGCTGATCTCAAAGAAGACCGAATCCTGCAGGCTCAGCATGGCGGCTCTCAAAAGTTAGGCTTCCCCAGAAGGCACAATTTTTTTTTTACAGGACTCCTGTCACTTTCATTTCACAAAACCCAAACATTCCACTCTTCTCAAAAATATACACCTCACATTTGCCGCTCCTCTTCCCTGACTGGAGCTGAATACTACCCTCCACAGGTGCTAGTTAAAGGCATCATCCCGAATGTGCAGCTGCTGAGGAAAGAGACCCAAACAGAAGTGCTACCAGTTCGTTTCCTCTGCCACCTAGGTCACTGAAGAAAGAAACTATGCCGGGAGAAGAGGAGAGAGAGCATAGCCTGGCTAGTTAGAGAAGTATTCCACCCCAGCGCCTGCTGCCCGCTTGCCAATCCACAGAGTCCCTCATCCCCATTTCAGCACAGAAAAATCCAGAAAGGCAAAGGACAAAACTGCGTGAGAACTTTTGCTCCTGGTAGGAGAGAAACAGCAGCAGAACAGTACACGACAGAAGTCTTAACAATGTACTGCAATATTCCCTCTCCTCTTCTCTTCCTGTGTGTGTGTATGTGTGTGTGTGTGTGTGTGTGTGCCAGTCCTAGCTCACTAGCACCGTCAGCCACCCTCTGCCTCCCCCCAAAGCTCTGTCTCTCTCTTCATTCGCTCACGAGCGGCCCCTCCTCTTCCGAGCTAGCTCTTGTTCTTTTACTGATGCCTGCTCTTTTCTCTCTGAGTGAGAGCGAGCTTGTTTCAACAGCAAACAGAGGGAGGCGGGAGGAGAGTGTGGGTGATGTCATCAAAATGCTGCGAGTGTTCCCTGGCTGTGGTTCAGCAATGCATACGCATGTCAGAGCTGCTACTGTGCTGCCTCTCTACTGGCCTATCAAAACGACACTTCCTGTAAGCTCCACAGCAATACTGATGCGTCATCCCTGACTGCAGTAGGAGGGAAAGGAAAGACTGGGAGGATGGAAGAGGGAAAGAAAAAGGGAGGATAAACTGAACATGGGGGAGAACACACAACTGGCTCAGAGCTCTGCACCACAATAATAAAACATATTATATTACTAAATAACATGTACAATACATCCACATCTTCAGAACACAGTACACTGTACTCCAACTGCACTCAGAAGGAATATGAGGTATGTGACCTCATATATGACCAAACAATGGGACATGGGTACCAGACATTGTGTTACTGGTACTTTCTGACCCGTTTTTAACCATGGCGTGATGGTGACCACAACTAATCTATTTGTTAACTAACCGTTCACACCCAGTGGAGTCATAGGCATTACATCATTGCTCTGTCCAAAAGCTACCAGGCATAGTTACTCAAAGACACAAACTCACTACACACTGCATCAGTGAGAAAACAGCCCACTGTGTTTGCGTGAATGTAACAGAGACACAGACACACACCTGATTCATCTGATATTTTAATCTTGTGTTGATGACAAGTTTCTTCTGCTCCCTCAGAGACTTAAAAACAGAGCCACATGACATCAAGCAATTTGTAGTCAAGCGCAGAATTAAGTTTGTTATCAAAATATTCTGAGGGGAACAGCGTTGGAAAGGCTGCAACAGACAAATGCTCTTTGTCTTCTTTTAGTTTAGTCTTTATTTCTCTCTCGCCTTCAGTCTCTCCCGCTGTCACATGTCCTCCACTACACAAGTTATGCAAAATGAGGCAGAGCTCATTGCAAACAAACACAACACAAGCAGATGCTTTGTCAAGCCATGGCTGGTGCTACCCTGACGCAGGCTTCCACTGTGAAACTCTGCCTTGTAAAAAAAACAAGCAAGAGTCCCAGTAATTACATATCATAGTTATATGCAGATGATATGGAGAGACATTTCAATTAACATTACATTAAATAGTTCACAATTTTGGGAATATGCTTATACTTGCTGAGCGTTAAATGATTTTATTATTATTATTATTTTTCTATCAAAGCATATTTTGAATTTAGCCTACTTGGGCACTGTTGAGCTCTTTCATGAGTCAACAGATATTTCCAAGTTCTGCTACACAACGCGAGTGCAGCGGGGCACGGCAAAGTGGATGGATAGATTGGGTCAGATATAGGCTGCATGATATGGAAAAAACATCATATTGCCATTATTTTGAAAGATATTGCAATTGCTATACGATTCATGATTAGTGGGAATGATAATTTTTGCATCACAATTTTAATTTTCACTGAAAAAACAAACAAACCCTGATGTGACATGTTTGGAGTTTTATTTTAAATCGGGAGAACAACATGTATAGGCCATGGCATCTGGAAATCCTCTATTCCAGGCCTTGAGTCTCCCTAAAACAAGCTTTTTAGGTTAACTGGAGCCTTTAGCTCAAGCTCCTTAGTAGGAGGAGGAAGGCAGAGGTATTTGTCCGTACACATTGTTTAAAAACAGAATTAGAATTCATATTATCTTCCTTATCAGCGAAACAGTTAATATACAAACATGCAGAGACGTCTGCAAGCCCTGTTTTCTGTAAACAGCTTTATTGTTTAAGGAATGCAGCGGAATAAGTCACAACATCATCTCTCTGGGAACATCAGAGCTAAGAGCTGCTGTCCAACAGAGCTGACGTAAGTTGAGGACTTCAAATAAACATTATCATAACGGACTTCCTGGAAAGAAGAGCTCACTGATTAAATAATCTCAACTAAATGCACAACCAAGGCAAGTTGTAGTAGCTCCATTCCCAAAGTGGGAGCAGTGATTGACAGCTAGCCATCCTGACTGTAGACAGTATAGGGGAGCTGTTCCTCCCAGGAGTCCACAGGGTGGAGGATGCATTTCCTGTCCTGGCCTCTCTGAAGGGCAGTGGTGGGAACAATAATCGATAGTAGCTGTAATTCAATCCCTGACCTCCCCAATGGAGCCCGGGCTGCAGAGGACACGCCATTTAGATCCATCACAGCAGTCTGGGTATGCAGCACAACTCTGCAACCTGCACAGCTCCTCACTTGAGTCAGGAACCAGCTATTTCATACTTCCTCATAATAATGATCAAGACAGAAACTCATACATTTCTATTTTCTACATTCTACATTTTTTGTATTTTTTAGAGAGATTGTTTTGCCTTTTTCTTTTTACTGCATAAGACAGCTGAAGATAGACAGGAAAGGGGGAGAGAGGGGGGATGACACGCAGCAAAGGGTCACAGGTCCGATTTGAACCCATGGCCGCTGCAGCACACATATTGATTATGCCACATTTTCCCTGGCCAACTTCCACGGTATTATGCTCTGTAGCTGTACGACTAAATAATCAAAATTATCTTTATAAACAACTCCTTGCACACAAACCACAGACACATCGACCCAATGACATTTCTAAGATTTCCCTTGTAGCAAATGAAGAGAGGCAACTCATTTCAGCAAAGAGTCATTCTTAGGTCAGGAGCATATCCTCTTTATGGAATGACAGAGCGGAACGCCGGGCAAATCTGAATTAAAACTCATCTCAACACAGGTAGAAAAAGGTCAGCTCATTACTCATAGCTCTTCAAATGGGCCATCTTCAAGTTGTACACTATGAAGAAGCACTTATTTGGAGAGCTGGTTGGAGGAAGTTCAGTCTGCACTGAGCTGCACCATTACGGGGGTTTGTTTCACTATAGCTGGCTAATAACCATTTAACAAACGATGAATAAGTTTGTTCAGGCTGTCTGGATACACGCCCCATTAACTGTTCAGACATAAATCACATGCACATCTTTCATTACAGAAGTACAACCCACCAGTGTACACTCATGTTCAGTCACATGCTCCAAACACTCCCGAATCACAAACAGGAAACCTGCTGCACCCATTAACCAAATACTGTCCGGATCAAACCCTTCCCAAAAACTCAGCTGTATGTCGAGCAACTGGGTGATGTCACTGTGTGCGAAGAAAGACAAATGACAGAAAGAAAAGAGCAGCACCACCTTAAAAGCCAACTCAGGCAGGTCATGCCAGTTCTGCAACAAGGGAGTGGCACTCAGCTCTGATTTAAACACAGGGAAAATGATCCTGAGGTATGAATATGCCAGACAAACCGCTCTGTGTCCTTACCTCAACTACTGTAGTAATCACATCACTTTTATTACATAACTCACCATTATGACCCCTGACACCACCAGCATGATGAAAAAAGGAGATTTTTCTAATATGACGGATGTTTCCTATTTGGAAAGGAAGAAAGAAAGAAAGAAAGGAAAGATTTGAAAACAAGTTGCCCAGTGAATTCTGTAGAATAGTCATCTTGCTGTTTTGTAATAATAACTATATCTCACTAGCAGTCTGAGCAGCACAAACATCTACTGGAGTCCAGCTAAAACACAAAACAAACTATCATTGTTACTGTGGGTTAGTTTAGCTAGCTGTCTTGGTTAGTCCTATTCTCAGAGGAAAAGAGGCTAGGTGAGTAGAGCGGAGGTCATGCTTTAGCCACGAGCAAACAGGGAGCGAGCGTGCTCTGACAGGTACTGTAAAGAAGCCACACTGAGACTGACGACAAATTATCACCCCACTGGTGATGCAAACTGGCTGGCCTGCACGTACACATAATTTGTATGTGTGCACACATCTACTAAAACTTTAACTACTGTATCCATAGACACAACAGACCTACTTCAGAGGATTAACACTGTCAGCACAACGCATACTCTGGGACCTCAACTCTCAAACGCCACAGTATGCAGGTCCCAGTACTAGTCCTCTAACTATACTCTTTTTTTTTTTTTTACTTAATACAGCTGTACAGGGCATACTAGCTCAGCATTACCAGAAGATCACTGTTTTCCTTTGATGGATTCCTATAATGCTTTATATCACTACCCAATATCAACAAGTAGGCTCTCATCAGCTCTTATAAATGCACAAAAAACCCAGCTAAATAACACTGGCTATATTCCAACCATGTTTGTTAATAAGCAAAGAATTATTCAATGTGCATCACAAGACAACGCACAAGCAATCTGTATATAATCTGATGATTAGCTTGCCACGTGTTCCTTGATACGGAGTTAAAGCCACTTGGGGCAGAAAAGTTAAAACAAGCTGGCAAAAACACAGCCCCATATAAAGTTAATATAAATAAAGATAACATGTTAGCAAACAATTGCCTATTCACAGTACATATGTAGTTTTTGGGCAACCCGCTGTCATATCTGAGTCTTCAGTTTGCTAGATGTTCATTAAGGTCTGATAACTGTAAATTGCTGATGTCTGCCATTTGAAATACTTTTTGTCATTTAATTGTTTTGGGGGGCAAACTGCATTTATGAATTGTGTAAAAATCGTAGCCTACTGTGGTAAATCATTTACATGTAGAACAAAAATATAATAATCTCTAATCTAGCCTAAACTTTGTCTTCTTCAGCCAGTGAAGTTAGTCGGTACCTTCACACATCTGACAGAGGGCTCACCCAGCACCAGCTGCCCTCTGACTCAGTCCTGTCTGGTTGCTACTGTTAAAATACTTGAGGTCACATTTTGGCTAACTAGGCTGAAAAACTTAAAGAACATGATGTTAGTCTATGATATAATACAAACAGACTTTGTTCTTTCTCCTGACAGAAGGATCGCTCTGTGAACTATGAGGGAAGTTAATGTTACTGAAATGCTCAAAACAATAACCATGTACTGTAGATAAACCAACTCTCTGCTGCTCATTATGTTCTGTTGTTACTATTATCAGACCACAGCTGCAATGTACGTCATGTACAACTTCTTTTTCACACTCTGGACCTTTTAATAAGAAGATCCAATATCAGTGTGTAACATTTAGGAGGATCTATTAGGAGAAATGGAATATAATATGCATTGGTAATGTTTTCATTATTGTATAATCACCTGAGTAAAAGAATCCTTTTGTTTTTTGGAGAATGAGCCTTTTATATCTACAGATGCTGCGGTTCCCCTTCCATGTATTTTGCCATGTTGAATTGCAGGGGTGCGTTTTTGGCCGCCATCTTAGTTTCTCCTTTGGAAGGGAAGGGTTAAGCGAGGACAGTGTACAGTACATCTGTCCAGTGTATGTCTGAGCATGTTAGCATGTGTGCATAAAGGGGGTGGGGGTAAAGCCAACCTTGGTTACATGTTAACAAAGCTGAACTACACTGAACTAAGAATGTAAATTATAAAAAGCACCTATGAAGTAGTCTTGTTAATTAGCAGAGATGAACACAAACTCAATACAGATTATACAGTACATAAGTACTGCATCGATACGCAGTTGAGTCAGGTATACCTTTAAGGCGGGTTCGGTTACTGCGGGCAGGCGTGGAGGACGCAATCCCTGTGTCTACCTCTATCATCGGATCTATCCGATCCTCATCAATGGTCTGTCCCATGACCAGCAGGCCCAGTCGTTTCATGCGAAGGAGCCGTGGACCCGAGTCCCTGGGAACGGCTCCCCCATGTTCAATGGACCCTTCCCCTGAGATGGCAGCCGGAACCAGGCTCTTCAGAAATTCCATGTTCGACAAGACTTTTCCTGTCTTTCACTCTGGTGCGTAGTCCAATAGCCTTTGACATGTCATTCTCCCATACAACCTACCTGCCTGTCTCATCCGCCCCATTAACAGACAAGCCAGCAGACAGAGTACAGTCCCCGTCTCCAGCTGCTACCTACATGCAATATCTAGATATTCAGTCACTGTAAAGGCCTGTACGTGTGACCCTCAGATCTGCCCTTACAGACCAGAACAGACACCACCTGTCAGGCTTTCTTAAGTTGTTTTTCTGGACTAACTAGTAGAGGAGAAACTGTTTACTGTAGCTAGCCAAGGTGACAGTGAGAAACTTCTTACGCTGCAACATTACCTGTCTGCTCACAGTGAACTGAAAAAGCAAACAGACATGGCACTTTTCATGGGTCGTGATGTAATTGTGAGTGGGCAGGGCTATGTTTGAGTGCCAGGCACTATCTGGGGTGGGACTAGAACATGTTCCACAGGAGATAACACAAGCCTGGGCCACCAGCCAATCACAACAGAGACGACACAAGCCACACCCTGCTGGCCTGTGTTGCTCACCAGTGAAATACACCGAGAGAGGAGGAAGAAGATTGACAGACACAATAAGAAGAAGGAAAGCTCCGTGGAGTGGGCCACACTTGCCCGCCTGCATTTACTGATAGCCCTTATCGTTGTCTGTATGGTGTTGCTTGTTAGCATTCATACACAAACACAAATGCCTGTTTGCTTTCTTGCAAACTTACTTATATAACAAGAGCACCCCTCCCTTAGCTTTCACTTCTGCTCGACTGTGCTGAGCTATTATGAAGAGAAGCAGAATGAGCAAAGTGATGGGGTCTGTGAAACGGGGTGACAGACTGCTGTGCTCTGCTTGGCTGCACAGCTTGTACCTGCAGCAAACTCAAACCCTTCCAAATATCCCTAGCTGAGGAGTGAGAGGGGCTATACTGTGCTGACTCTTATGAAAGCTCACTGCCTTAAGAAATCATCAATTTGCTCTTCTCTGGGAATGAAAAAAAAAATGAATAGGCCATCCAAGCACCAACATAGCCAGTCCTCAATAGCTATACAAAGCTGTAACACTCCACAAAAATGAAAGATGACTGTAGCACCAGTGTGCAGCAAAGTGTTAAAACACCTTTAAGATCAGCCTTTTCTGCTGATTCATCATTAATTATGCACCACAATAAAGCAAGTGGGCAATAAAAAACAGCACAATACTTATTTTATCTTGTTCTAATTAAGACTCCATTAGGTATTTTGATTTGACATTGAATTTAGTGACTAAGTGTAATGTAAAACAGCTGGCAGGGCTACAGAAGCCAATGGGAATTAAAACCCATCTTTGCAGCTTTCAACTCTGTTTTATGTCATTGTTTTTGGTTCTGTGGCCACACATAGACCCCATTGTAGAGTCTCGGGTGTGTAAGTAGGCAATTGTTTTGGATTTACAGAATGAGAACCAAATAGTTTCATGGCTGTGTTTCCATTGGCTGGCTTTGGAGTCTTTTTGTTCCACATGGTCATGGATCACATGTCTAGAGGTATTCTATAGCTAACTTTTAAGTTTGATGTTTTCTTAGAGTAACAGCGTCAATGCAAAAATGCACTGTGTGTAAGACCAGTGGTCAGAAACCTACTAAGGAAGTGCTTACACCGTCTATGAAAGTGTGTGAAAATTGCAGTGAGATTATGTAACTGTTTCAGTATACAAACTATGTCAAGGGCCAAAAAGGGGAAGTACAAGAAGAAAAAAAAAATTACCATTTTCTCTGTTTCTTCCCCCTGTGTGATTCTTGAAAAAAAAACATACACATTCATTTCAACTCTGCTTTTTTATTACATTTATCCAGCACCAATCATTGCCTGCACAGTAAGCACACAGTGGAAGAATGCAATGATAAATGCAGTGCAGAAGTTTAGCAAAAACTCTGCCCCCTAGAGGCAAGCTGGCAGAAAGCACACAAAGCAGTACAAACTAACTGCTGAAATCTACTGACAAGCCCACACGGCTGGGAAAAAGAAAACGCTCAGCAAGATTTGATGGCAAACTACCAGAAAGCTTGTTAGGGCTGGACTCTGGCTCACCAACATTTCCGCAGAAAAATCCCACTTCATTTGTGCAAAGCTATATATGAAATAACAAACATAATAAAATTCAATTTGTTTAGTGTCAAATTTAGTTTCAAAACTTTACAATCCATAGAGAAAGTAGCCAATACATTTAAAATACAATTTTAAGCCTACTTATAAACGCTGTGCTGTTTGTAAGGATGGCAGTCTTAGTTTAATAGTTCAAACTATGTTGGCCCCATTGGATATAGAGAACAGGACAACTGTTCAAGACTTCAAGAACTGGTCAAGACAAAAAATTCATTATATCCATCACGCACCAGAGAAAATGTGCTTCAAGTTGCAAGGACAGGAATTTGTTGGGCTAGTGCAAGACTGAGGCCGAAGCAAAGATGTAGAGAAGCTGAGGCAGCAGATCCTGGTAAGAATCACTAAATGAGTCATTTAGAGAGAGAGAGAGAGATGAGACAAAGATAGCCATCACCCAGCCTGAGCACCACAATGGTCAGTGCAGGCAGCTGTGGTTTGCTGGGGCCAGGTCTGTGGTGCTGTTGAGTTAGAACAATACTCCTGCACAGGAGAACCAGATCCCAATCAGCCCAGGAATGTGGAAGAGGAAGCTCTAGGAACAATGTGCTGCGTTCCTATCCCATTCTGGGTCCCACCCGCCCCTGCCTTGTTCTGCTTTCAAGCAGAAGAAAACAGGAAAACTAGTGGGCTGGGGCCCAGAACTCAGTCTGTTTTGCAGTCAGCTGGGGGGCTGGTCAGTGTAACAGTCATGTTGCTTGCTCTGGGTATGCATACATCTGAACCACTACTCCACCACTTGATGTCAGTAAACACTTCAAGGTCCATGACAGGTAAGCTGAATATCAAAACAACGTTGCACTGCCCTCTAATGGTGTAAACAGCAACCACACTGTCGAGGCCACAAACATGCCTTGCTGTGCAGGGCCTTCAAGTGTAACCTGAAGTTATGAAGCCATAAAATGACATTTTTGCTCAGGTGTGTATGGGACTGCCCTGGTTTAACACAATAAACACACCTCTTGAAAGACATGCATTCATCTGCATATATCACTGGGGTATTTTTCTTCAAACAGGGTGTCAAGGAACAAACTGTGACTAACAACAACAGTTGATGTTCAGTAATGGTTCATTCAGAGCCCAGCTGTATGAGGACACATTTTTCCTTACAATAAAGCCTCTGCCTCAGTTTGATTACTGCACATTGCTACTTTGTCCATTTACTTTGACTTTTCAGGTCTGAAAACCTAGTAGTTAAGTTTGTATGCATCGTCCTTGATCTGCAAACAGGAACAAGAAACGCAATGTTCAACATTCAGACTCAAGACAAAGAGATCAAGCTGGTTCTGCACAGTCCTGATTGACAGTCGTGAGGCAACCCACAGAGAACTTGGTTGTCACTGCTGAAGAATGCGAGAATGTGACCTGACCAGGCCATCAAAATTAAACTCTTTTCTGTCCTAACCAATTACCATTCTGAGATGACGCCTGTCTGCCAGAGGCTGCAACAATATGCAAAAACAGCGTTAAGATGAACACGGCACGGCAGTGCAATTCAGCTCTGCTGATTATGTGCCTCACACACCCAACACCAGCCCGAAACATTGAACATGGGCTCACACTGTGTAGAACAACACTGAGAACTAAAAACTCAATATAAAGTAGCTTAAGCTCGACTCACTCTACATACGTTCTGTAGGTCAGTGCATACACTGATTTGTAAGAAGGTTCCTCAAACACCAGTCGCCATCAGCTCCATCTGGCTGCTACTTTTTCAAACTGTGGTAAAGTCACATTTTGGAAAAACATGACAACGTGATGCTAATAAACATGAGGCATTCTGCTTCTTGTTTTTTGTTTAATTTTTACTTTTATTAATAAATGATGACATGCATGCTACTTTAATATGATGAACACAATCCACTTCTTCCTTCTGAATAAAGCTTCGCTCTGTGCACTGTGTGGGAAGTTAACTACTGAATGCTGGGGCATCAGATGTTCATTTTGTCCTCTGATTGTCACATTGTTTTTTCACATTTCTTATTCATTGGTTTGTTTTTTAACTGAAAAAACTAACAATTTCTGTCATATTGTAGCTCTGATGACAAACATACAAGTAGTACCTGTAAATGGAAAAATGACTATTGCCTATATGGAAATACTGTATAACTGCAGACAGAGTAGAATGAGGCACTATTCACCTTATGACAGCACATGGACAACATTTACTGACAAAATAAAAAAGTGAAGTTGTCCAAGCTAAGAGAGAGAATAATTGCCAAGCTAGAAAACACTTTTTATTCTACTGCTACTTTCAGAATTTCGCAAAAAAGCAAAACAAAGAGATTACTCCAACACCCTGTTCATTCCCACACTACTTAGCTTACGGTTTCTGTTAAACCTAAACCACACCACTCAGTGGAACACCACCCACTTAACCCGTGTGACGTACCTTAAGGCCATAGAGCAGGGGCTCGAACTGGAAAGAGAAAGGAGGGTCCACAAGTTCACTGCACAAGAATCTGAAACAGAGCACAGAAGTAATGTCTTTAACTACAAAGCAGCACACTGATGAGAGACACACCAACCACTGCCACTGCTAAGTACAAAATATCCTCTTTCAATCAGAACATTTCAGGTAGATCCAATTAACCTTCAACCGGTCACAACAAAAAATTAACTACTACAAAATCAACACTAATATAATCAGCAGCCATGTGAGTAATTCTTTCAACGCTTATTTCTTGGAACTTTGTTGTCAACATAGGAAATAACATTTCACAGGCTTTTTGTTCAGTCACATCAAGAGATACGATTCTATTCGATTTATTTAAGTTTAGTCCAGTGATAATTTGCTTTGACACAGAACAACTAACTGTATTACAACAGGGCTGAAAAGGTGGAGTGCTGTTGGACAGTAAAGTCTTGGTCACAGAAAAGTCACAGGTCAACCTAATGTTGGCTTCAACCTGGTTTGCTCTCTGCTGGGACAGGATTAAAACCTCCTCCTGAGCAGAGTAATAATCTGAAGATTACACACTACATCCAAGAGGCAGTTACATAAGTGATCAGAGCCTCCAAAACTGTACTTTCCTTCCAGTTTATCATCACAGTGGCTGAAAGGGATCCTTTTATGGTCAGGTAATCTCATAAGCAGTCATGCAATCATTGTAACCGTCTGTCTCGAGGCACAATGTGGCATATTCCTAACTTGTAACTTTTTTTAAAGGCAAAAAGGGTAGTGTACACTACATACATGATCCGG